CCCTGGGTCTCTGGGGACCCTTGTTTGTGAGTTACTACCTGCAGAACACTTGCAGTTCCCATCAGCCCCGGCTGTTCTTTGTGTTTAGTGGTGGTTTCGAAGGTGTTAGCATGCTAACATGCTAAGATGGTGAAGATTGTAAACATTATACCTGCTAAAACACAGCATGTTAGCACGATGTTGTTAGCATTTAGCGCAAAGCACTGCTGTGCCTCACAGAGCTGCTAGCTCAGCTCTATTAGTCTTTTGTATGCGTTGGCGTGGTAAAGATGTTTTCCTCATTTGCTTGTGTTTTCTCAAGTCGTAGTGCATCGATCTTTCCCCTCAGTAAACCCTTTGCTGAAAAGAGAGTGTATCTCAGAGCAATATACCTTAAATACCAAAATATTTGGTGAATGAAGTGCTACAGTCGACACAGATCCTGCGCCCTTGGCACCAGTTTTACTTCAGTCTCTTGTGTCCGGCTCTGATACCACCCAGGCTCCCAGATCCCACAGAGACGGAGAGCACGCTGGATAAAATAGGTTGATAGCCTACTTGTCTTGTAATTTCAGCCCTGTCCTGCCTTGAACGGCGGTTTCTAGGGATCTCTACTTGTTCAACAGAAGATGCGTACTTTGGCAGCCGAGGCCTGGACGAAGATGTCAGCTGGAAGAGAAAACTTTCCTATCTGCTCCTCAGCGGATCAGGGAGCAGGGCGAGATGAGGAGATGGTGTCATGCTGGGACGGGGTGGAGTGTTGTGATTTCCTGTTTTTGCAAGATGGGGAAGCAGATATGCCGCCATGCTCTGCAGCTCTGGAATGGGGTTGTTTATGAAAATAAAAAAATCTGTGTAGACTCCCACAAACTCCCCAAAAAAAAAAAAAGAAGCAGTCAGAACATTTTGGTTATGAGGATTGTTGTGGCACAGAGATCCTCGTAAAACTTTCCAGTGGATGTTTTTAACCCAGAATGCTGTACAGTGTGTACAGAAAGTGCACAGGCGTCTGTGTGGGACGGTGCTTTGGGGAAACTGGGTCCTCCTCTGTTACAGACTGTGCTGTGCTCTGAGTACGTGGGTTTCACAATGTAGGCTGCTGATTTCTTCTGTGTTGCAGTTTCTGTATTTAGTCCTTTTGTTTGCTACGTTCACATTTGTTGTTGTCAGGCTTATTCATGCATCACATGACGCACAAGCCCAGGTGCGTGTTTATATATAGGCCTGTAACTTTTTTTTTTTTTTTTTTTTTTGCATAGTCTTCGAAGAAAACTGTATCAAGGAAGTAGCTGGAAACATTTTCTAATCAGCAGAAGCAAAAGTTTTCAATCTATGCTTTTGTCAAAATACAAACAGAGGCTACATCCTTTTTTTAAATAAATGACACTGTGTGGACGGTGGAATCAATGAGTAGTAGCCTGACGTTTGCAGAGGGGAAACCCCGGCACATAGCTCCCTGGTCCTGTGTTTGGAATGTGAGCCCCACCTTGGCTCACAGGGTGTTGGCTGCCGTGTCAGGAGGACGGGCGGATACTATTGTTGGAGCATCGATGTGAAACTCGAGTCCACGCCTAACAGGCATCTGAGGCGGCGGCGGCGGCAGCAGCAGCAGCAGCACTGGTGTATGATTTTTAAAGAGCCTAAAGAAAAATCTGAGCTGCTTCCATGTAAGAAGAAGAGAACAGGGTTTAGAGCTTAGGAATTTACTTTTTTGTTTACACATTGGTTGATAATCTGCTAACAGGATTTGATTTGATGAAATGTAAATAATTTACCTGGGTTACCTGGATTATTGCCACTGTTCAAGGAGTGCCACTCCTCCCCCCTCCTTTTGTGTGAATGGTATCTGGATTTCTTAATGAAAGCTACTTACATTCCCCACATCCGCTCGTGTGGCACATTTCCATAATTGTATATTTATGTGCGATGTGACGTCATTTTGTTCCTGCGCAGCTATAAAAAGCCTCAGCGTTCCTCCCTCCTCTGTCGTCTGGGCTCCACCTGCTTGTTGTTTGTGATTCTTCACTTGTAATGAAAGGAGTTTGTTTGCTAATTGTTTTCACTGGCATTCCTCTCGGGTGTTTTCAGGGCTGAACTTGAGGTCCGTGCATGGCAGGAGGATGACAGCCTACAATCACTGCGCTATTTTTGCTCCTCGTCTCTTTTCCTATGTAATCAAACAGCTAGATGTAATTTTTGCTGACTTTCTACGCATTTGTTAAAGTTGTTTATCCATTTTTCACCCTTTTTCAGCACAAACTCTGCCATAAATCAATTTAGGTATGAAGCTGCCAGGAATCCCAAATACATAAACATGATATAAAATATACAAACTTTAATCATAATCTCTCAAAACTTAAATTTATCCAATGTTTATGACAGAATAATCTAAAACTTAATTCTAGTTGGCTTTTTCAAAATAATGACTCTGATCAAGCTGTATAAACAAACCTGACATTATACTTGGTCACGTGCACAGCTCATGCTTTAAACATCAGTTTATTTTATGTGCGTTTTGAATCATATTTCCATATTGTTAAAATATAAAATCTGTATGGCTGTGATCGTGATAACATCCTTACTTTAGGATGCTAACATGCTAAATGTGAACATCCAATAGCTGTTAACTGTTAGCACGTTGTTAGCTGTGTCTTGCAGTCAGTAGTTGGGGAAGAAGGTTTTTAACTGCAAAACTAAGGTAAAAGGATTTTTTAGTTTCCTGTTATTGAGATTGTTGTAAACTTTTATTGTGGAGGATAAATGGGAAACTCAGTATGAAACTGATAAATTAATAAATATATTGGTGTGAATAATGGCCGCCTCTGAGTTCAGTGGAGCTGTTTGACTGTGCTTGGGCTGTGACCTGTGTTAATCTGCCTCTCTGTGTTTCTGCGCAGTCATACTGTGGGTTTACAGAAAAAAAAAAAAAGAAGGGGATCTTGTGGTGGGGAGGGCGGGAATGAAAAGCTCTCTGGTGTCTTAGATAGGGCAGTTAATGTGCGAGGCTCCTTTCGCACTTCAGCGGGTTTGCTCTCGTCGCAGGTTTTCTTTCATCTAGGAGCTTTCATGTCTCGTCTTTTATGTTTAAACCTCAGTTCTTGTAAAACTTTCTGCAGTTGCACATCTTGACGCTCGGCGACATGACATTTAGATTTTCTTGTTGACTCAACCCGAACGGGACTTCGCAGTCGTTTCGTGAAGCAGCATTTGGGGTTAATTTCCCTCCAACCCATTCATGACATCCTGTTTTATATTTGTGCAATAACTGCTGCTTTTACTACATTTACATTTCAGAGTGTCACAACCGTACGCTGCGATTACAAAACGATGTGGCAGTTGATTTCGTTGAAGACATCTATTTCAAATGTTTTAATTTAAACTGTATTTCACATCAGGGATTTGTGTTTGGTTCAGATGTCTGCATTTCTACATTATTCAGTTCCGTCATCACTTCTGTTTCTTTTTCTTTTCTGTGTATTTTAGATGATTTAAAAGTCGGTTTTCACTCGTCATAGAATGATATTTTATTTATGTGAATCCGCTCCATATGGAGTCAACGAATCAGCCTGGATATCACGTGGAACTACGTAAAATTGTACAAAATCAGACAACTATTGTGAGATGTGTGTCTCTCAGCCTCACAATGCTTATATTATACATGAACAAAGAGGTTACTGTGGTCGAGGTGTGAGGTGAAAATAACCCAGCAGCACAGGAAGTGAAAAAATAAAAGCAGGTCTTGGTTTCAGGCCTTTTTCTCTTCATCCTCCCTGCGCAGAGAGAACTTCCCGTTGGCAGCACCAAGTGTCAGAAACACATGTTTACTGGGGGATTTTTTCTCACTCATGTCAGTTTTTTTTTTTTTTAACACCAGTCACAACAAAACAGATGAGACTTTCCCATGAGTCAGGGTGAGGCAAACTCGTTGGCACTCTTCCACCCACCGGTAAACAGCGTTTCTAAGAACTGCTCCTCTGTGCCTGTCCAGTAAAGGCATTTACAGATGGTGTGTGATCCGCGGTCAGTTTGGGGGGGTGGGGTCTGTCATGTTAATGTAGGGCACGAACTGTTAAATCAGACATGAGCATTGTTTTACTTCACTGTTCTTTTCTTACCCGGACTGGTGTCCAAAACAAAAGGCCTCCTCAAGGTATTGTGGGATGTCCGGCCACACACAGCTCTGCGTTGTTAGTAGGACACAGACGCACACACACACACACACACACACACACAGATTAGCCCCATTCACGATGACAGTACAGTCATTCACTCTCACTTCATGACCTCGCTCAATACTGAACTGATAGATGACTCAAGTGAAGCTATTTAATCAGTACGTCTCACAGTAAGTTTGTGTGTGATTAAAGAATTGTTAGAAAAATGTGCAAATTTGTAATTTAACACTGAACTCATTAGAGAATGCAGCCATGTTTTGAAAATCTCACTTGTTGCACTTATTATTGAATCATTATTGCATTGAATGTGTGAGTTAATTTTGTCATAAGGGAGGGGTTGCACCGTTCAGCATTTTGTTCCTTTGTTCTTTAAATAATATCCTTTAATGCTACTTCACACTTCAGAAACACTGCACTGTCCCAGATAATGTGACAATAATCCTAAAGTTTATGGTCACGGTTCATGTTTCAGCTTTTTCGAATTATTCAAACTTTGTTTCTGAGAAATCAAAAGACCACAATACCCATGATCCTCGACCACAGTTGCCATGGAGAAGAAGCCAGGCGTGAATCAGAGCAGTTCACTCTTCTCAACATCATATTCTTTAATTCCCTGCAGCTGTTAGTGACTCAAGTGAGAGGATTTCAAGCTTTTGTTTTATCATTTAGGCCATAAAATCATGAAAAATGTGTTGTCTTAGAAAACAAAGTCATCAAACTTACAATGATATAAAAACAGAGAAAAAAGCTGCAAATCCTTGTATTTGAGAAATTGGAACCAGAAACTTCAGCAGTGAATCAATAATCTGAAGTATTGCTGATTGGATGTGTTGTTCTCTGTTGCAGGTGGTACAGACTCAACTCCAAAACAGGCAAGAAGGAGAAGGAGCGAGGAGACATCCAAGTCACCGTCCAGTTCACCCGGAACAACCTGACAGCCAGCATGTACGACCTCGTCATGAAGGACAAGGGTGCCTCCACCTTCAGCAAGCTGAAAGAGCGCATGAAGGGGAAGAGGAGATCCAGCGAGGAGGACTCTTCCTCGGCCGTCCTGCCAGGCGGATACGGGTCACTAGTTCAGTTGCGGCAGCGGCTGCCGAGCGATGGAGGCGGGGAGGAGGATTATGAGGACGACGAGGGGGGTGAGGCCCGGCGGAGCAAGATGAGGACCTTTTTCCTGAGAGGGAAGCTGAGGAAGTCATCAGACACTCGCTCCAGCACATCACTGGGCTCGGAGAGCAGCGAGTCGTCGTCGCGGGGTGGGAGCCTCAGTCCCACAGCCGGCATCAGTGTGGTGGTGTCTGACCTCTCCAACTCGCCCAGTAACAGCAGCAACCTGACGGTAGACAACAGCCCAGGTGAGAACGACCAGCGGGACAGTACGGAAGAGGATTAGGGCCACATGTGAAAATCTTTTTTTTTTTCTTTTTAAAGAACTTTAATCTCAGAATTCATAGTTTAATTCTGAGTTTAATTCTGAGTTTAAATTCAGGATTCTGAGAAATAGAGCAGCAGATGAGCTTGAATATGAAGGTTATATAATAATATAAGTTTATTTTCAGACTTGGAGGCAGTTCAGATTTGACCTCTGGGACAGGGCGGAGCCTCCTGGTCCAGACCAAACTAGCATGTTAGCTTCTGATTAGAATGACTGCTAATGTGCTAGCTAGCTAGTCATGTACTTCCATAGAACACACAGCAGCTATAGCTACCTTAACACCTGGAAATTGGGGGGGGGGGTCTGCAGTCCCCCTGCAAAATTGGTGCTCTAAGCAAAATTATATTACATGGCCACGCCAGCAAATAAGCATCTTTATGCAATTTTGGCAAAGATATACATGATTATGATGGAGAAATGGGGCAAAAACTGGAAAGAAATTCAATGCTGAGGTCAGTGACCTCTCAGGGTCACCAGAGGTCAGATACAAATTGCATCCATGTTTGAATTCAAACCTTGGGGTGTGTAGATTATATCTGTAGGAGAGAGCTTGTTATCACTTCCTGAATGATGTTTAATTATAATACTTACTGCACATTTAGTCCAACGGCAGATTTCAGTTTCACAGTCGTCCATCCTTTACCTCTTGTGTTTACCTCAATCACTCTCAACAGAAACATCAAAGAGCCAACCTCGAGCTGCAACTGACAACCATTCTCACTTACAGATTAATTTCTCAATTAATTTATTAACTGTCTATAAAATGTCAGAAAATAGGACAAAAAATTCTCCAGGAGCCTGAAGAGGCATCTCTGAATTCCTTGTTTTACCCAGCAACACCCAAATACAGAGTGTAAAGTGTCGTAGTAGGTTTCTATCCTTGAGATATTCCCTCATTCGGTGTTTTGGTGACGGCGGTGGAGAGCGGTGTCCAACATCGTGGTTCAAATTATTCCTTAGTTGTTCAGTTGGGTTGAGATCTGGTGACTGATCATTTTCACACTCATCAAACCATTCGGTGACGCGTCTTCATCATGGGATGAAACTAATCACTCGGAAAAACTTTGATTACATAACTTTATTTAAACTCGAAAATCATTTACAATAACATCCAGCAGATACGAAATAATAATAAAAACACAAGATAAACGAAGAACAATCAATCAAAACAAACAAACAAATACAACGAATAAACAACGTAACAACAAAATCAATTAAAGCAGGTACAAACAGAAGTTAAAAGGTTTGAGATTATGGATTTAAAATTGACCAAGAGTTACCAACAAATTACTTTTCAAAGTGTTTTGTAGTGAGTTTCAGGTGGACTGTGCAAAGAATCCAAAGTCGGCTCTTCATGGAGCATAAGCCAGTGATTAGTCGTGATGTAACGTGGTCCAGTGGATTAAACTAGCATGGGCGACTCATCTCACCTGCTCAGCATTTTTTTTTACACCTGCCTCAGAGCATGATGGGATGTTAACTGCCTAATTGCACCACGCAGAGCACCTGTGTCGAAGCGTCTGCGTCCGTCATGTTTCTCCACTTCACCGACTGATGTTCAAACTCTGTGTGAGATCTGCACGATTAAAGAGGAAGCTGCGTTTGTGTCAGTGTTGTTGAGGAAGCGTGTGGACTGGACGGACTGCGAAACTGAAACTTCTTAGTATGTTCGTGCAGCGGGAGCGGTGAGTGTGAAACAGGAAGAGGCTTTAAAATACTCCACTTTCAACCTTTTAATTATTTTTATCTTAATGAAACTTCATGTGGGTTTTGTTTTCTCCCTTTTTTATTTATTTATTTGTTTGTTAGCTGATTATTTCATAAAGTTTGAAATGCTCAACTATATTTGCAACAGTCGAGCACTTTAGGAATAAAGTTTGACATTTTGGGGAAATACACTAAATTGCTTTGTGGTTAGCTTAGCTTAGCATAAAGAAGTCCATTGGGAGACAGAAGAAGATGCAAAACCCTCAAATATTGAACTAAAGGAAAATCTTAATACAACATAGTGCTACAAAAGGGTTTAAAAGGGGCTGCAACTATTGATTATTTTCATTATCAATTCGTTATTTTCTCAATTGAGCTATTGATAGTGTGGGTCATAAATTCTTAGAACTTATTAAAACAGGCCAATGGCTACTCCACAAAGCCAAGCCTGACATATTAAAGAACAAAACCCAAAGAAATTTAGTTTGATATCTTTGACCTAACTGATTTAATCTAAAATCAAAATAGCTGCTGGTTAATTCTGTGTTGACTGACAAAAAAAAACTTCTAAATAAATTAGAGTAAAATTTGACCACATTTTGTCACAGAACGACGTCATAGACCCTCGAGAACGAATATTTATAGGATTTTGTTTTAGTTAATTTATTAAATGTGAAATCAGTCAAACTTTTCATCTCACCTTGAGTAAATATGACGTTTTACTATAGAGAAAATGCTGCTGCTAATCAGCTAACAGACTGGAAGGTTTTTAATGTAAACGTATATATTCAGGAAATGTTTGCATCTGCTGTTTTGAAACAAGTTGATAATCAGCCTGCAAATAATAAATTACATTAAAGTGTAAATCCCTCGTGAGGAGGAGCCGCTGTATTTGGTGTAGATTTGTTGGCGGCGTGAGCTCCTCCGAGAGACGTCTGCGTTGTTAAATCAGCTGATTGGAGAGCAGGGTGGAGAGATGTTGTACTATGAAGCGCGGAGCAACAGTTCCCATTATAGCAGAACTGATTCAGTAATCACACACTGGTAAATTAATCCATTTCCAATCACTCTTGCACTTGTGTCGGCCGTAGATACTGACCCATCCTGCTGTGAAAAGAATTGTCAGTCAAAGCCATTACAAGGTTTTATCGCCTGATTAAAGCTGCCTGCAAATTTAATTTAGTGAAGTCATTGATTACCTGCATCATTTTTCCTCTATCTCTCTGTTTTTTCTGTTTCTTTTCATTTCCTCCTTTTTCCTCATTGTTTTTTTTTTTGTTTTTTGTTTTTTTGTTTTGCAGAACACACGGCGAACACGTCACCCAAGTCGTCCTCTCTCAAATGTGAGTTTGGTGATGAGGCCGGTGAGATATCCATAGCAGTGCCTCAGCCCACCGTGTGCGTTAACGGAAGCCATGCTTATAACGTCCAGCCCCTGGACCCAGGCTCAGGAAACCCTGCAGATTCTTTAGGCCTGGGACTGTTGCAGAAGTCTTTGCCTCTCTCCATGTCTCTACAGAACCTCAGCCCACGGGCCTCCACAGACCTCCCCAAAGGTCCTGTGGGAGACGGGCGTCGCTGGTCTTTTGACAAACCCGGCAAGGAGGAAAAGGCTGCCATAGCGGCGGCTTTGGAGCATAGCGGCCCCATGCAGGGCGAAGACGAGGAGGAGGAGGAGCGTTTGGGACTGGTTGTTCTGCCCAAAGCCGCCTCCACGGCGGAGTTAGAAAGCCAGGGGAGGAAGCAGAGGAGGAACTTTTTCTCCCATGGGAGAATCAGTCAGGCCAAGGACGGGACTGATGAGGCCACTGAGGAGAAACACAAGGGATGGTTCGGATCAAAGGACTCGCACAGCAAGCCCAGGTGAGACACACACTGTGATCACAGAGACGACTCACGACACATTGACAGGTTCATTTGCTGCGGCATCAAACACGTGATGAATTATCATTTCAGTGCGAATATGAATTGAATCAAGCAGCCGACGTGCTCATGAGCCTCCTGAGAGTTTTGTACCTGCGCTGTTTGGATTTCCTTGCATCTCTGGTCACAGACTGAGGCGTCTAGTTGCATGTGATCTGTATATACGCTGGGTTTTATTCCGGCAGAAATATGGGCATGAAGACGTGTGTGTGATGTGGAGGCTGATATTTTAGCAGCAAAGATGAAACTAAACCAGATTAAGGGCGTTTTCACACCTGCGCTTTTAACTCCACTGACATTGAACCCCGGTTTATTTGGGCAGGTGTGAAAACAGCAAACGCACTCTGGTGCAGAAAAAGCAATGGCAAACGAGACCCTTTTCAGGAGGTGGTCTCAGTCCGGCCCCAAGAGCAGTTCGTTTTTTGGTGTGAAAGAGTTCTGAACTTGATCCGACCCTAGGTTCCCGCCAGACAGTCTGACCAATAAGAAGACGTTCTCACTGGTTTGTAATGATGCATTTTGGTTCACTTTCACTTTCACATTTTTCTCTGTGTGAAAGCAAACTGAACCTACAAGTTTACAAACTCTTAAACTGAATCAGACCAGAGCAAACCAACCAAAGTTTTGTAACTTTTAAAATTAAAATCTTTTTACTTTTCTTTGCAAATTACATAGTGGAGTTATTAAAACCCTTGGATTTAATAACTGGCTGAACCAATACACCAATAACCTCAAACAGGAAGTTTTGACCATTCTTCCCACTTCCTGCTTCAGCACAGATGTCTGTTGTAAACGGCTCTTTCCAGCTGATTCCACAGCATCTCTACTGGGTTCAGGTCTGAGCTCCGACTCCGACAGGTGTTTTTTTTTTTTTTTTTTCTTTGTCTGAAGTCCTTCTGTCGTAGATTTACCTGTTTAGGGTCATTGTCATTGACATTGACGGCGAGCTGTCCAGAGCCGCCAGATGCAGCAAAGCCCCAAATCAGGACACCTCACTGTTAGGATGACGTTTTCATGGTGTGCAGTGTCCCTTTGACCCCACATGCTGCATGCTCTTCCCAAACACTTGTGCTGTAACTATGTCTTGGCGAATCAGCAGCTTCTCCAGCTATGGTGCAGTTTGATTGGTGCAGCCAAGTTTTATACAGGTCTCTGCACAGACACAAGTATTAGAAAACTTAACTGTAATGACAAGACCGCAGGAATTCATTTCAGTTTCCAACTTAAAACCAAAGAAAAAGAAACAAGATGCAACATGATAATGGGTCAGCTTTAATGGGATAGCTTCAACTTCAGCTTCATTCTCAAAACACATTGATTCTTATCTCAGAAAGGTGTTGAACTATTCCTTTTAAAGGGTGGTGTTTACTATCGGTTACATAATACCTCCTTTACCTTTTGGAGGTAAATAATATCAGGGTAGTGTTCACTCCAATTTAGAGAACTCTAACAGTTACCTGAGGGTTCATTTTTTCCTTTATATTCAGAGAGGAGGCATTATGTTGAATGGTTATTAGAGTAGTTGTTTACTTTCCACTTCCTGTGTGCCAGCATGGCTGCTCGACGCTGCTTCCAGCTCAGTACACATCCCTCCTCAGCTCCTAGTCTCAGTCTCTGGTTACAGCAGGTATCTGCAATGCAGATGGAGGAGGGGAGCTGCTCTCATGAGTTTAGCTCCATCAAGCTGAAGCATTGTGCGCGCTTTAACATGGTTCGGTAACGATGTCAGCTCCACTGGAAAGATGGCGGCGAGAGCTGGAACAATCCTTGTTCTTTTACAGGGTGTGTGTGTGTGTGTGTGTGTGTGTGTGTGTGTGTGTGTGTGTGTGTGTGTGTGCGCAGGGAGAAGGGAGGGAAGGAAACCCCTTCTCATTTTATTTCCACTTCTAACACAAGCACATTCCTAAGTGGGTAATTTATTTGGGAGTTGTCACCTGGTGTCCTGCACTTTCTCTTGTTGTGAGTGCATTGCTCCTACAATTTGTATTCGGTTTCTTTTAAAAAATTAATCTTAAATACAGGTCTCCAAAAACACATTTTATTTCATTTTTATTTTTTATCAATTTACTTAACCGAGACCAAAAAATCAAAACAAACAAGCACAGCGTCATATTGATTTCATGCACTGAGCGTAAAGAAAATATTGGACTGATAAGCACCTGCTGATAAAAGCGAGGTCAGCTATTCTGGACCATAGTACACTCAATACCTTTCTGCCAGCTCTGTAACTATACGTTTTCATGGCCTACACACCCACATGCTTTTACATCCTTGCAGGGGGGGGAAGTGCCAAGTTGGCAGCGACAGCACTAAGTAATCACTACACCCAGCTGCATCAACTTTTCTTAGAAAATACTCCATCATGGGCCAATGAAAACACAGGTGAGGCACAGAGATGGATGTTTTGGATGCACAGTTTTGGAAGATATGATTTCAACAAGTAGTTGCAGATACAGTTAAAGCCACTATGTGTAGAATATAAGACTTTTCCAACAACTCTTAGTTTTAGTTTGTAGAAGAAATATAAAATCCTGGTGGTTTATCTGAGGATTTCAACCCATTCATCTCAGTATTCCCAGTATTTTGACAGGTTTCTGTTTGCCACAGTGTCTTTTTAGAGGCTCCCACTGGAGGGCGCTAAAGTTTTAAAATGTTCAAATTGTGGCGTTAAAGCTGCACCACTCAAGATTTTTATATTAATTATTGATTAAATGACAACGTGCAAACTAGAAGTGGCAAACCCACAGCAAAATAATCCAGTAATCTTCAGTATTAATCAGCTATATAGAGCATTTTAGCATCTTTCAGCTCATTCTTTTGGTCTTGCAGCCTGAGGCTTGATATTTCTTTCCATGTCAAGTGGCAACAGACGGCTATTTTCAGCTAAATAGTTAATGTGCCCAGCAGCAAACAACAGACAAGACAGAGTTAGCGACCAGCTAGTGAACATAATGGAGCATTTAGCAGCTAAAGAATAAGATATTTCCTTTAGGAGTTTCTGGAGAGTCAAAGAAAAGTAAGTATTAGACGTCATCAGGTGGCAGGAAACGATGATCATGAATGCTAATGTTGCTCTGTGTTTGGTAGATGTGTGAATTGGTGGCGAAGGAAATTAATTAATGAAGGTTTAAAGGTGTTTTATGAATGAAGCAACAATATAACCTCGACTATAAGTGACAAACCTGGACATTTTGAATAAATCACTGTAGGTGAAACTGATTATTGACAAACCCAGTCTGTAAAAACATATGATTTAAGATGTGATTTGAGACAGGAAAAAAAAAGTGCCGCCGTGTGAACAATCCTCACTAATCAAGAGGACTGTGTGCCCTTCCTTTCACAGCCTGGTGGTGTCACCTAAACTAGAGCCCAGCACTGATCCCCACCCACCACCCCTCCCTTCTAGTCACCACCCCCCGGGTCCCCCTGTGCCTCCCGCCTCTCTGGTTTCTCCGCTGCATCACACTAACCCCTTTTGCCACTCACAGAGCTCCCCGCCTCACATATCCCCCTGCAACCCTTTCTTCTCTCTCCTCCAGCGCAACCCTTTCTATGACGACATGCTCGCCTGTCCGCCCCTAAAACCTTCACTGCCTCCTTTGCCCTATCTCTCCAGTTCCCGGCCCCCCATAGCGCAGCTCTTTCCGCGGGCGAGTAACGCTAACCCGACCACGGAGGGCTCCATCAGTGGCACAGGTGCAAAGAGCGACCCGATGGCCACAGTCGAGAAACGACCCCTTCCTCCTGTTCCCACGGAAGAGGAGAAACCTTTAAGCAAGAAGTCGGCCAACCCTTTCATGTTGTCTGGGGCGCTGGAGCCGGATTCAGAGTGGGACGAATCCTTTGAAGCGTTTGCGGCGGGCAGGCTGCAGTCTCCCGAAGATCTGACCACAGATTGCAAAACACAGCAAAACACACCCGGTGACCATCCGCTGGAACACTGCGATAACGCAGGAACACTACTTCCCATCACAGATGCTGATCACAACACAAACGTGAATGAAGCACTACATCATCAACCCTGCAGAAAAGTCGTATGTGAAGCTCATAAAGCCACGAGTCAGGTGACCAACACTAACGCACATCATCTTGACACATTTGCACATTTCCTTGAAACAATCCCAGAACACAGAAGCTTTGAGACGGACGGCATAACTTTGAACACTTCTGCTGACGCAGCAGAACTCGATGCTTGCACCGAAACTAATCAAACTAACAGTACGACTAACACAAACGATTTAACTAACGATTTCACTGATATAAACCGAGCCCCCTGTCACACTTCATCGCTACAGCTCAGCAGCAGCTCCCCAGATCCTGGTTCTTCAGGTCTAGGCAGTTCAGCAGAGGAGGATTTCCTCTCCTGTCTTTCTTCTTCGTCAGATAAATTTTCTGCTTCCTCCTCCGAGGAAGCTGATGCTCAGAACTTTGAAAGCGGCCTCCTGGGCTTTGAGAAATCCTCAGAGTCAGTTGAGGCTAAAAACTCAAAGCCCTCAGAATCTGAAGGTTACATTACTGACGGGTCACGTGATCGATCTTCGCTTGATGCGGCCCAGAGAACTGTTATTCAGCGGCAGGACAGCAATGAAAGGGTACAGTCAAACGATTCGGAGGGGGCGTCGGCACCACAGTCCCCAGCGCCGATAAACCAGCAGCTCGTGATCGCTGCAGGAGAGACGGAAACTGAAGGTGCCGAGACTCAGACGCTCAACATTTCTAATGTCGTGTACCCTGACCTGTTGTCAAACCTGTCTGAACCACAACCAAAATCCAACGTGTCTGAAAGTCGAGAGAAAGGCATCAGTGAATTCAACAGCTCTGTAGAGGCGTTCAGCGGTAGCTCTGTAAATGTGAAGATCCCTGCGACTCCAGGTGACGAACTCTCCTCCACGCTCCCATCATTACACATCATAACGTCTTCACCTGATGTGAAGCAGAGTTCGTGGGACTCGACCTTTGGGAGCACTAGTTTAGTAGAGAAGAAAGCTAGCCAGTGTTCTCCAGTGCCATTTGGGGATTTTGGTGATTTCCTCAATACCAGTCCCGGACAAGACTTTGACAACACACTACTGCGCACTCCGGTGTCCGATCAGAGCTCCAGCAGCTTCCTCCAAAGCCTCTATGTCAGCACCGACTCGCAGGATTACCAAACCTGTGAGTGCTCCAGCGCCTCGGAGCCGAACGAGACTTTACACTCGGCAAACTCGACGCTCTGCGGAGAGCCGAGTGAGATTCAGGCGACTGCGGACGCCGCTTCGGGCCTAGAAGATTCCACCAGCGCTCCCAAGCCAGCTAACGGAGAAATCAACCAAACCGACAGATCTGACGGATCCGTCTGTGGAACTGACGACAAGACGGCAACGCTCGAGACAAATTTCATGATAGGGGATGATTTTGGTTTACAAGCGCTCCCTGCAGCGCCAAAAGACTCTCAAACGAGCTGTAATCCAAAGGGGCTCAGCGAAGGAGGCGTTGAAAGCCGGCCAGTCGTCTTAGATGACGAGTTTTCAATGTGCCCTCAGGCCAAGTCCGCTACGCTACACCGCTCCCGGTCTGAAGGCACACTGACATCTGTCTTTGACGAGCTCCTCCTGCCCACTTTTGGGAGCGATCCCGGCGCAATACGGGAGTCCTCCTTAGCTCAACCGGGCCCTGATCTCCCCTTTCTGACCTCTTTTGCTCCTCCTCTAACTCCTGAAAGTAGTAGCTCCCCTGTAGCGCTCTGTTCTTCCCCTCCTTTTGCCAATGCTTCGGCGAGGTCACCACGAGCCGCTACGCCAAAGCCCGAGAAGAAGCAGCAGCAGCAGCAACAGCAGCAGCAGAAGCAGCAGCAGCAGGCAGCCAATCAGCAGAACAGGTGAGGTCGCACATGCTCAGTGCTCGGTGAAAAGGTGGAAAGGGGGAAGCACTTCTAGAAATTTCTATCCTGTCGTCTTCTTCAATCTCCCTCTGCTGCTCTGCTTCCGCAAGCTTTTCGTCTGTGCCGCCAACTCTCAAGGGGTTTCTCCATTTGTGGTGTTACCTTCTCCTTTTCATCACTCTGTTAAGACACAGACACAGAGACACACACACACACACACACACACACAACACTGGTGTTAACAGGACTCCTCTGCAGGTGTCTTGTGTGTGTCCTGGCTCTGTGGTAACGGGAGGGGAAACAGAGCCTCAGGCCAATTAGCAGTTATTATTTTTCCCTGATTCCTACCACACACCCCCTCCCTCCCACACACACACAAATACACATACACACACACACACACACACACACACACACACACACACACACACACACACACACACACACACACCCTACCCCCCGCACACACACACACACACACACACACACACACCATCCCCCGTGCCCACAGGGCCAAACCCAATGTTCTCACACAGCCACACTCATTTGCCAAAATCTCAACCAGAAACCAGGCTTCGTACGAGGCAAACAAGGTGTTGTTGTGTCACTGATAGCATTTCCTTTTCACCTCGGGGTAATAACACATTTAACACAATTCTACATGTTTGATTGCACCGACGCATGCAATTAAGTCTTTCAGTTTTGAGCTCATTTAATTTCAATTTTCACCAGTATTTTCTTTAATGAGGAGCCTTACACCTGTCTAACCTCCTTTTACTCCTGATCACTAAAATTAATGATTATAAAAGGTTGGTCCCTAACTTCTGAGTCTGTTGTCACCCTGGAGGTCCACAGGACAGTCTGGTGTGCTGAAATAATGAGTAAACCTGTCGTACCTGGGCTAAAGAAAGACGCGCATATGTGACAAAGATTGTGCTCGTGTGCATGCAGTCACTGCAGTAAGTAAATAAGTGAGATGTTTGATAGATTTCCTTGTAAATGTAGGTCACAGGAAACTGTCTTTCCTGTGTTATTGTGATGTTGTAGTTTGAGAAATATCTTTCAGGTTGACCTGAACACTGAGCTGGTTTCTGGCTGTTTGGCAGCTTAATGACCAGCAGGCAAATTTAATTAATTAAACACATCTTTTTTTAGCCCATGTCAGGAAAAAAACAGAACACAAAACTTAATATACTGAAGAGGGAGTTTTTGAATCTTGTGATACTTTTGTCTTTTGTCTGTCTTCACATCAAAGTTTCCCAAAGGAAACTAGGGTTGTGTCGTGTGCGATTTTCAGAATAAAAGCACAATTGTAACCCTATTAGCTTGTGACCCCTCGCCACAAGTCATGGCCTCAGACTCTTTAACTTAAGAGTGATGTTTTCCTCCCCACATTATTTCATTTGAAGGATTTTTAGGTGTTAAGAAAAGTTAATAGTTTTGTGTAACAAAAGTATATTTTATTAATTTTTTATCCCTTTAATCATCTTTTCTGGCAGAAATACAAGTTGGCCCTTTAGAGGATTTTACTCTGAAAATCACACCAGACAACAGAGGCGGAAAAAATGGATGTCAGATATTTATTTTTCTAAATTCTGTTCCTCTTAATCTGTTTAATTTTTCACGATCATTTCATACACAGATTAAAAAATGTCCAAGAGTTGTAGACCTCCAGTGTGGCGACCAGATCGGGTCCCTCGCATCGCGTGAAAGTCGTCCGTATAAATCTCAAACAACCAGAGAGGTGTTGCGGCTGCATCAAGTGGCATACCTGACTGTATGTATTTCTTGTGGATGTCCTCTCCAGCCCCCACCCAGTGAAGCCCCTGACCACTGCCATACTGGCTGAGGAGAAGCGGACTGAGGGCCGGTCAGTGCTGGCCACCGGCCTGGAGAAGCTCAAGTCCACCATCCACCCGGGGAGGAGCAGCCAGCTCAGCGAGCAGGAGACAGAAAGGAAGAAGGTGCAGTATACTTGTATCATAATAATGTGAATAACACTGCAGTGCTGCCCTACAGAGAAAAATAGCAGTAATTATTGTATTTATTTGCATTTCAGATTAGATTTTTATGACTTTATATGACAAAGTCACTTGTCTTTTAAATTCCCACTATCTCAATTACTACCTACATTAAAATAGAGGAAGGTAAACGTACTAATGGGAGTAGTAAATGGAAAAAGTAGCACATTTAAAAAGAAAATCTGTGTATCGTTATTTGCAATTATTACAATAACTATTAAATCAGTCGTATCTGCATAAAACTATAATGATTTGTTTTCTTTCTTGTTAAAAGGTTCTACTCTCATAACTTACACTTTAATACCTCTGCTTTGATGTATAATTAAAGTTTGATAAATGGAAATAAAAGGTATGGCTATTATTGCCATAAGGAACAAAAGATAAATGAAATACATTATTGTTTATATTGCAAGAATCCATCCAATTTATATTTTATGTAATGTGGACATTAAAATTCTGTCTCTGATAGATATTAATTTAAATTCGTAATTTTTCTTATTATAAAAAACACATCACTTTGATTAATTTCATTTCATTTAACATCAATAAAATATTGATTAAGCGCAAAATCCAGTTCATAAAACATTTTCTGTACTTAAAAGTCTGTGCTGGGATAAATCCTCTGCTGCACAGAATAATGAAGAATAATATCAGGAAGTCACATTGACCCATACAGAAGTGTAATATATGACATACATGTCCCTATATCAAGAGTGATGTTGCCATATATGTCACCTATACATCATCTGCATATATAAAGATATAAGTTTGTAACATATAGGAAATACCAACGGTAAAATGTTTAAATATAATAAAACTATGTATATGATGATTTTTTATCAACAAGCTTTGTGGTGGATTTATACAGTGTATATACAACATATGTCTACAATATAAGCATACATACATAATTAAATACATATATGACATTTTTGACAAGGTTTTTTTTAGATATAATTTTTATATATATGTACATGTATGATTTTACTTCATATTTCCATATATGAAATATATGGAAATTTAATATATGTGCGTATATTACATTTGGATATAGGGAGACAGATCTCATTTACAAGTGAGACCTCAGTACAGAAAATAAAAGAAATATTAATAGCAGAGATGCAAAACTTCCGGGATTTAAATATACATTCATATATGTATTTATATCAGACCACACAATGATCAGAGTGTATATTTAAATGCATTTAAATATGCATTCAAATACACAACCAGGAAGACAATAAGAAGACAAGTCATATGTATTGTAGGCAGAATAAGCAGCGAGTGAACAAACAAATGGCTCCACCTACAGAAACTTAAACTCCATCGACAGGAAGCTGAAGATTTTTTCTGTCCTCTTGTCCATCTGTGTCTCTGTCTGTGTCTTCAGTCTCTGACGGAGGGAGCGGGCTCGTACTACCACCTGACCCACAGCGAACTGGTCGCCCTGCTGGTGCAGCGGGAGGCGGAGCTGGAGAGGCAGAAGGCGGAGTTTGAGCGTCAGAGATTTCTGCTGACCAAGCGCGAGGTGGAGCTGAGGAAGCTGAAGCCGCAGGTCAGAGATCTGGAGGACTACATTGACACGCTGCTGGTGCGCATCATGGAGCAGAAGCCCACTCTCCTGCAAGTGCGCTCCAAGTTCAAGTGACGAAGCGTTAGGGGGGGTGGGGGTGGGGGTGCAGAAGGCGGAGTTTGAGCGTCAGAGATTTCTGCTGACCAAGCGCGAGGTGGAGCTGAGGAAGCTGAAGCCGCAGGTCAGAGATCTGGAGGACTACATTGACACGCTGCTGGTGCGCATCATGGAGCAGAAGCCCACTCTCCTGCAAGTGCGCTCCAAGTTCAAGTGACGAAGCGTTAGGGGGGGTGGGGGGGTGGGCGGGGGGTTTGCAGTCCAGTCCTCATCTGTTCACTCTAACCTCCACAACAGCTCTTTAGTCTTTTCACTGCTATGCTGTCCTTTTTGATACAAATATTTAGGCACTGAGAGATGTCGAGGCGATGTTTTCCAGTCGGCATGCTTTACTGTACTGAAACACGTTCTCGTCTAAAAGGGTCTGGGTCGGGGCGGTTCTGAATGTAGAGGGTCCTCAGGTTGTTTTCAGGTTCACACAGCCAGTTGGTTTTAAGCTCACACAGGGTTTACAGCCTAGGTTCTTCCATTTTGGGCTCCTGATTGTAGAAACACTGATCCCTCCTTTTCACCTCACACGTCACTTCTATCACATAAACGGAAAAGAGAGAAATTGTAGGGTTTCAATCCATAACGATGTAAAATATAAACTTCCTTTAAAGTGCTACCATCAGTTTTTAGACTGTTTATTTAGTTTATTTCAGTGCAGCATGAAAATCAAGTTGCAGAGACTTGAAGCCTGAATCTATCATCTGTCAGCTTTGTTGATTTTGTCTTAGCAATGCAGTTGACAGCAGGGCCAGTTTGAACCGGCAGTGATGGATTAATTGTTTGCTCTACAAAAAGTAAAGAAAATAGTGATAAGCGTTTCCTAGAATGTGACGTGACATTGTCAAGGTTTCTGTTTCGTCCAAATTAACAAACAAAAAGACAAGAAAAATCACATTTGAGAAACTTAAACCATCAAACATTTGTCGCTTTGGCTTGAAAAATTGGTTAATTGACTAATTGATGACAGTTGTAGGACCTGACCATCAGGCTTTGGATTTTGTAGCGTCCAGGATTCGGTTTCAGTCAAATCCCTGCTCACAAATCCTGTATCACACAACGGTAACACGCCACTGACGATATTAAGGCAACAAAATGTTCAGTGCAGCAACTTTCAAGTTTCTGCAGGTGTTTTTTTTTTTTTTTTTTTTTTTTTTCATGCTTAACTGAAATGAACTCAAACCAGTGGCTGTCTAGAAGGAAGGAAATCAGAGTTAACATCAATCAATTGATCATTTAGTCTAACTGTTAAAAACCCAAAGCTATTTGATTTATTAAAAAAAACTCCACAGAAATTAAATTTATAATAAATAGATAATAAATAAAATTTCTATTTGATGAGTCACATGTTTCTTATGAGGTGTTCCTGTAATGATTTACACCTCTGTGAGTGACTGGCGTCACTTTTCCCAGGTGGTTAACATGTTGTTTTGGATTGACACTCTACAAATGTTCCCTAATAAAAATATCAAGTGCTCTGGCTAGTTTTTGAAACCACAAACCAAACGAGCGGTGTGAGAGTTCAGCCTCGTCACGTGCACATTACTGGGAACTGATTGTAGCTCATGAATGTTCAAAAGTGTTCTTAGCCAGCGAGTGAGTGGTTTTATTTTCCACGCGCGACAAGTGCTGTTTTATCTTTTCCCTCCTCTTTTTCGCCTCTTGTTTTTCCTTCTTTCTGTTCTATGGGCATGTCTTGAAATTACCCATAATGCTCAGCCACATAAGCTAACAGATTGTTGTGTAGGGTCATGGTGTTATCAGGTGAAGACAGTATCACTCAGAATCCGAACAGTATCAAGATGAGCCATCACAGCTTCTCTGATCTCATGCTTCTGCCTTCCCATGTGTGCGTTATCGACACGACTTCCACCACGTCGAGAAAATGCCTGCGACATGCTGGTACTTGACTCCCACTCCCTCAGTGTCTGTGTGTCACATCTGCTCAAGCACGCATAGCGCTACTGCTTTCAGGTGTTATAAAGGGATATATACTGCATTTTTACCGCATATATGCCGTACTGAAATGCCAAATGCTGCCTTATTTTTGTTTTTGTTTTAACGATCATTAAAAATTTCGAGCACTTCATTTTACTCGTCGGGGGCCTGGGGCAGGTTTTGAAAAGGAAAAGCCATCTGTTCACTGAAAGTTTTTATTTTCTTTCCTCTGATGCTTTATGATGTTTTTATTTTAGATCACTGCACAAAATTAAATTGTATGCATACCAGTAGAAAATGAGCAGTAACAGTAATTTCCTGTGAAATGCCAAAAAAAAAAAAAAAGCCTTGAAACTTAATCTATGGAGCAGATTGATACACCATAAAGTATTCTGATATGATGCCACTTTTAACAGCATTTGTGGATGTTCTTGCACTACTTAATCATCAGAACATAACTCTACTGTACCTGTCTGCCTGATATCGGTATAGTTAGATCTACTTTACACCGTACTGCACTTTCTAATCGCTCTGTGATTTAAGCACTTGGCCTACTTTGACACCACGACGACGACTAGCCCGTGAGCTTGAAGCATACAGAAATCATCCAAAACCGTCTCATCATCTCAGTTCTGCTGTGCGATCGCAATATCAAGTGCATAGATGACTGTAGAGACATATTTAATGTGACTCAGCACTTATGAAGCGCAAGAATAAACGTCCTCCTTCCATGTCTTCCATTTTAAAGTTTTTATTTAAGTTTAAATTGATTGTATTTTTTTGTCCTTGATTGTGTAGCCGGTGGAGTGTGCTTAAGGTAGTATGTAAGATTGGAAAGTTTACAATTCGTGATGCAATTCTGTTTCACAAATTTTGTATATTTAATAAAGAATATTTTGTGTTTCTTGCTCACTGTATGTTTGGTTGTAAATCTTTCTTTGGGGTGTGTTTGTGTGGGTTTTGTTTAGGAGTTTTCATGTTTGCATTTAGGGTTGGTTTTCTAGGATGGTAACAGCTCCTTCTTTCTTCTTTTTATTAGCAAAGAAAAATGTACATAACATTTAGGGTCATTTAACTAAACCACCTCCTAGTTTGAGTTCTTTTTAAGTCGTTTGGGTTTGAGCTCTTTATGTAAAGTTAATTACACATTTTGTTGCATGTACATCTTAACAGAATTATTTTAAAAAGTTTTGAAAATATTTTACTAAAATGTCAAAACCCAACTCTTTAATGCAGTGTAAGCTTCAGGTCTAACCTATCTTTGTTTAACTGATATACATATTGATTAATAACACATAATCAGTCAGAACTGTTTGGTAATCAATTGACAAAGGCTGTGATTGCACCTGTTTTACCTGTGAGGAGAGCCAATAAAAATATAGTCCAGTGGCGATATTGTGAATTAAGAAGCTTGTGTTGTAGACATTGGATAATCCAACAACTTTAAATTAAACTACTCATCTTAATCTAATTTCAATGCAGTTCAAATCTTATCATAGGGCACTAACAATATCATAAGCAGGGCTATAGCCAGGATTTTAGAAACGCCACACTAAAAAAAAAAGGAAAATATCCTAATTCAAATAAAGTGTAAAAACAATAAATTTACGGAAAGTTTCATTAATATTTCTACAGAGGAAAACTGTTATTTTACAGATTTTTCCTAATTTATTATGATCAAACACGTTCAATACAGTGATGCCACTCATAGTTCAGCAGAGAAACTTTTTCCTAATAATAAAATTAAGTGTCAATCAATTAAATATTAACACATGCTTAATATTGTAAAGTAAACCTTTTGTTTTGGAAGATAAAGTAAAAAATAATGTGTAAAACGGATTAAAATCATCTCAAACTTCAACTTGCAGTATTTGTGTTAACATTTAATCTTTAAGTATGTAAAGTAATGTTAAAAACCTGTAGAAGCACAATCTAAATACAATATTTAATTATTCAGATTCAGATCAATTTTCTTACATTTCTCATTAAATATAATATACTGAAAAAATGCAAATTAAATTGTAAAGTCTCTGTATGTAGTCTTTCAACTGAAGTGGGGTTGGAAACTTAATTACAAATAAGAAAACACACCACTATTGACTTTATAACACCTTTATTTAATATATTCAGAAGTAAATTTACAATTATTCACAAATAGTTCTTCAGAGCCCCGGGATGATCTGAAGAACTAAAACTGGCATTTCTCCATTGGTCTATCTGGCCTGTTAAGGTTACTATAATGAGGAGGTGATGATGTCACCTCTGAAAGAGGGGGGTTGTGGTCTGTTGTTTTTTAGCTTGTATTTTCCAATTCAGTTTTATCTTGTTTTCCACAGTATTCTCCATATAGTTCTGACAACATATGTGGACAAACATTACACTATCTTTTATGTCAGAATCCCAACTATACAGTGTATTAATAAGTAAAATCAAAACATTCCACAAAGATCAATGAATCTTTACCAGAAGTGACGGTGCAACCTGGCAGATGAAGAAAACACCTTCAAACTGCCAGTAATCAGCTGGATCCTTGGAGCATCTGGAGGGAAAAAAGAAATAACTGGAGACACTAAAATTTACCATAAAGTCCTTAAAAAGTATTATTTAATTATTTTTTTGTTTACCATTACTTTAATAAAGCTTAAACAAATGTTATTTAAATGATCTGTACCGACAAAGAATGCTCTGACCTTCTGTGGCTGCATCCTAATGTTCCACCGGACTAAACATCAAACACCTGAAGCTCATCTTCAGAACTCTGCTTGTGCTGAACAGAAACGCTGTGCACCCACCTATGTAGGCGCATATTGACAATGTGCTCTTAAAATAATGGTGATATATTGTGACACTTACTTAAGACCAGGTTTTTGTTCAACTGGCTATTTAAACAATGTGTGCACTGGATGGAAAAATTACAACTGCATCAGTCCGAAACTAGCAAAGACACTTGAGTTGCACTTTACGCCAGGTTCTAGTACAGTGACTGCCATCTAACCTACACACATCAATGTTTATATTAAGTTCAGATCAAACTAAAGACATTTAACACCAGTGAGTAAATCAATCTGTTTGCATCAGGTGCAAATATGTGTGTTTGGAAGAGTGCTACCTGCAAGGCTGAAAGAAGACCTGAAGTTCTTTGATACTAAAAACCCCACAATGCATCACAGCATCTCACCTGGCAGTTCTTGATCTCAGCAGACTGGAAAGAGACAGAGTAGGTCATGTTTATCAAATTACTTTATTGTACTTATTTCATAACTAGTTAAGGAACACCACATTAGAGATGAAGATAGCACCTATGATCAGAGCTGTATGCTACGTTTTTTTTTTTTTTTTTAAATGGCAAATAGTATGATGAACTGTATATATTATGTACTGTATAAAAGCACATAGAACTTAACATAAACTTGGATTTATTCATGGTGTATTGCTTGGTATTAACTGAATAACACATCAAGGACAGAATTAGCCTAAATTGACTAACAGCAATTGGGATCAACAGATTTTTCAGGGCTGATTCCAATAATTAGTAATCAAAGAGTACATTACCTTTCATTAACAGCAGTGAGTGACCGTTTACGTGCTGACGTCACTGCAGTGTCTCATCGCTAGTCTCTGGAGTTTCTGTTACCGGTAGAGTTTATTGCTGCTCTATCTGAACACAGTTAATGTTGTTTTCTTCATTACAGTGACTAACTACCTGCTGTACATTTAAACTTACCAGTTCTGCTCTAGCACCCACAGCTCTCTGCTGCTTATAGCGACTTTCACTGATTCAGCGTTTGTTTACATGCTATTCAGAACTGATTGTTACTTTAGCTTAGCAGTTAGCTCTGGCTTCTCTCTCTCTCTCTCTCTTGCTCAGTGTGTGTGTCTTAGACCAACAAATTAACTTGGTTACAAACAAAATAGCATGTTAGATATTACTCACAAATCTCTGAGTTGTCATCTGGGACATGGGTGAACAATGAGGAACTGGGTGATGCCCGGCGATGGGAACCATGAGTGGTAGGCTGGAGACAAGTCCAGACCAAGCGATAGCTGCGCGGGAGACTTCTGCTCCTCAATGTGTTTCCTGGTCCTCTCTGTCCAAGTGTACAAGTGTGTACAGGACAGTTTCCTCAGTCACTTTACTCATTCACTTTACTCATTTACCTCTCATGCCGAGTTCGTTTAAGCTTTAAACCTGCTGACAACATTAACACATCCTAGCAACACGCAGTAAAATTAGCTACTTATATATTGAAAAAAATGCTGTTATGGCTAGCGCGCTAATCGCGGTTATCTTTTTACTTTAACACACGTTAATGACGCAGTGTAAACATACATAGTTAATGACATTTGTTTATCTGTCTATAGCATTGTTTAATCCGAAATAAACGACATGAACACAAACAACATCACAAAAAAAAATCCAAGCCAATGCGGAAGTGCCAGACCTTGCATTCTATCGAAATACCATCAGGGGGCGACTCCACTAGTTGCAAAAAGAAGTCCGATTGTACTGAAGTCTATGGGAAAATGGCCCTACTTGTCACTTGATTTGTTACCTCAGTACAGCACGTTTTCGTTATGTGTTTATGGTCTGAATCGCTAGTTTGAAATTTTCTTCAATACAACATGGTGTTCATTTTTCAAATTATGGTCCTATTTAAAAGAAAATAGACGTTAAAGCAGAGTGGGTTTAGGGCGTGGCTACTGCGTGATTGACGCACAGATTAATCCGGATATGAGGTCAGAGCGATGTGTCGCCATTTGACTTGTTGTATTTTGAGTTCGTCAACAGTAGCTCCGACATGTCTGCCTGAAAATGTCTTGTTCGGCGTTCAGTTGTTCTAAAAAGTGGAGTCGGTGGTTTAATTTTTTCCGGTAAGTACATTTTGTTTTAAGCTTATTTCTTTGCTAGCCAAAATTAGCATCCCTGTTAATATCACAGTTCAGGTGAAGATGCACCTTGCTAACCAAGCTAGCCAGCTAGTGCTAGCGTTAGCTGATAACTTAGCGATTGCTATGCTAACGGTACTTGGCCGAGCTGGGCTGATAACCTGTGTCAGAGATCTTTTTGATCATATTTTTACACCTGAATTTAAGTTCTACTTGTAACCTCAGTGTCACACACTTGCAGGAATTTGGAGCACCAAATTTTACAGTTTTGTGCTTTGTATGTGTATACAGACATTGACTGAAGCTCTTCCTCTTTCTGTGTCTTTTCTGTTGCCTCACCACTGTTTTTTTGTTGTTGTTTTTTTTTTAATATATATATAAATAGAAATCTGTTCTACAAATTCTTCCCATGTATCATTTGTTCAGATTTATTCATAAAGTCTTGTTTATATTACAGTATATGCTAAATAAGGTTTAAATGGATGATTGATTCCTCTTTTATGTTCTGAAGTCCTTAGAATGCTTCAAAAACATTTCATAGTCAAAAGAGGAGCTGCTTAACATGTCCTTATTTTTCCTTATGTGTTTTCATAGGGATGGCAGAATCAAAAATCAAAATCAAAAGTCAAAATGACTCTGAGCTTGTAAAGTGACAATAACAAATAATTCCAGTGTTTGTAGTTGTAAATCAACATTTGTTAACCTGTAAAATAAATCTCCATGACAAATTCAGGTTTCTGCATGTGGAAATATTATGCATGTGTAGAAGCGATTTGTATATGTTAAAGTCTGAATCTAAACTATGATCAGTGCTGAGGTTAGAAAGGTTGATTTAAACTACAAAATGTTAAGATGAGTTAAAGTGATTCTGTTATTATTGTTTATTGAACAAGGTTCCCTGAGCTGATGGAAATCTGGTGGCCACAGCAAATGAATTGGTCATTGTCAAATTTGTACTGCTTTCTTTTATGGTATATAGTGCATGCACAAATACACAGCCTAGTAAAGTCCAGGCAGTAAGACAACAACAAGACGTGCCTGGGTTCAGCTTCAACCCTGGTTCTTTCTTGCAGTGTTGCTTGCATGTTCTCCTTGTGTTTCTTCCAGGGACTCTGATTACTAGTACAAACACATTTAATTAATTGAGCATTCTAAGTTGTCCATAGGAGAGAGAGAGAGAGAGAGAGAGAGAGAGAGAGAGAGAGAGAGAGAGAGAGAGATAAACCATTTTCCTGCTTTCCTTCCAGTACATACTTGGATACATTCCAGTACTTCAAATAAATGTAAAACTAATAAGATTTACCCTAAAATTACAGAGAAAATCTTTAAATTGTTGGTATGGACATTAACCTTTATAACAACAAGCTACATTATTAATTACAGATAATTGCTGTCATTTTACATAGATTTGTATGTAGTTTAAGAAAGTAGAAAAAATGCCGTATAAATAATACAGTAATTTTTCTTTAAAATAATGGGAAATAAATGTAATTCATTATTGTTGGCAAAATGCTTAAAATAGAAGTTTGGCTGTTAATTCACAGAGAATTTCTGTAATTTTACAGACTTTTGTACACAATTTTGAAAAACAGAAAATTACTGTAAAATTTTCAGAGTTATTTTCCGTAGAATTATTAATTGTGCTGTTGTATTGAATTTTAATGTAAGGTGTTCATGTTTTTTTGTCCAACCTCTGCCCAAGTCGATACTGGTGACTTTAATTCAAAGACACCACTAGGGGGCTATGTTATCCTCTTTGAACACAACCACCTACCTGAGTGCTTCGTCAACATTTCAACTCAAAAAGCCTCATATTTTGGTCTGTTTTACTCTTAACTTATGCATTTGCACTTTACTTGTTGACATCCTCTTTAAATCAATGAAAACAAAGCATGTACTCCTGGGAAGTGTAGTCCGTTTTTCTTATATACTGCCCTTTCTAAAGCACCCTGGAAAAACTACATTACCCGTAATGCAACTCGGCTAGTGAGCAGCTGAATATTGACCGCCAGCCCGTCAGCTGCAGCCCCATGAAGTGTTTGTGAAAGGTTTTATAACGTGAATAGGGAGAATACTGGTGTAGATTGGTGTGCGTGTGCAGCAGCATGTCTGAATATCCGACCTTTCAGTATGGCAAGTCTCGTTTCGACCAGGTACTTTTGTTTTTCACTTCGACTAAAGTCTGTAACAGGAACTCAACTTCATGTGTGCAGACAGCAGTCTGTTTTATCTGCACATAAACAGGCCTTTACACATCCTAGTGTCACGCTGTAGTTGAGGTAATTAAACTGTACTTTTAGCATCTACTGTATCTTGTAAACAGACTACACCTAGCATTTCAACATTAGCATTAAAGTAACTATCTGGTTACCAGCGGTGTACGTGAAAAGCGTTTTGTTTAACTCATGTCTGGGAAAAGACAATTAAGCTAACATTATCACTGTCGAAACCAGCACGTTCTTCGTATTTGAGTTTCTCGGTTAGCTTGGACATGTTATGAACAGGCGTAAAGTTCAAATACTTGGAACCTTGAACGCAGCGCGAGAGAAAATCCAAACGGTCATCTCTCTCCAAAATAATTTTAAATCGACTTCCACTAGCGCCAGTGGCCCCGTATGACACAAATATAAATAAAACTGTAATACAACTCTTGATATGTAGCACTTTCACCGTGTTTTAAGCTTCTTGGTCAGCTTGGACATGATGTGTTGCCTCAAAAAATACTTGGTCCCGTGAACGCAGCGCGAGATAAAACCCCAACTCTATAAACATTTTAAATCAGCGGCTCTTGTCATTCTATATACTAATGCCAAAATTACTCTAATATAACTCCAAATGTTTATCCATCTGTAAGACAATTTTAACCACCGGTCAAATCTCTTAAAACAATTTTAAACCAACGGATCCTTTTATTCTCAAGGTGCTAATGCCAAAATTACACCAATATAAATCTGGAAGCTAGATCTTCATCAGCACTTAAGCTTCTGGGTCAGCTTGGACATGACATGAAATATTAGAGGCGAATTGGCTTTAAGTTCTAATGGGTTCTTATCCTGGGAACCATGAACGCAGGAACATCTCCTCTGATTTAGTCTCAGAAAGTAAATAATTTAATTTGAAAAATAACTAATAACAAATATAACAAAATAAATGTTTGACAACACATTTGCAAGTTGAACCACTTTCTCTAAAGTAAGAGTTGTTTGCATATATTTTTTAGTGTGTCTTTAGAAAAAGTGAAAACTTATTTGGTAAATTTACTCTTATGAATGTGACATTTAGCCTGTATAATTATCAACTTAATAATATACTAGTGCTTAGATGGACACATGGTGTTGACATGGAAACCAAACAACACATGTTCAAAATATATAACGCATTCAGGAAGGATTGATTAATGTATATGAGAGCAGGTCCAAAACAAATGAAAATAATAATTAAATTCAGCAATTAAACCACAAATGGAACAGTTAGGTGACAGACAGGTCACCAATGAAGCGACTGTTAACCTTGGAGTAAAGGTAAGATGAGTCCCCCTGGTTTCCACTGCTCACCAGTGTCAGCTCAAACTGGTGAAGTTGGAAAGGTAGTGGTGGTGGATAAATAGACTTTAACAGATTTAGAGAGCTATTCCCCCCGTGCCATGTTTTTACCAAGCATCCATATGTTCAGGAAATCACAAGGCACAGCAGTGAGCTAGATACCAGATTTTCATCCAAATTAGCAGTTAGTGTAATTAAAATTAAGTTGGGGAGGAATGGGGATGGGTGGCTTTCAGGGCTGAATGGTGTGCTGGTATATTTCTGGAATTATTCCTTATGCTCGGTAATGAATAAAGGTGTTTCTGGTACAGTCATTATAGAAACTGATTGCAAATGGTGTGAGTGGATTTGGGTCCCTAAAAGATGCAGATAAGAAACAGTTTGTCAGAGGTATTAATGAGGAGCCTCCACCTGGTGTGTCAAAACAGCTGGCACGCTGTTATATCACTGTTTACTGAGCGTCAGCTGGAATCTGTCTGCCTCTCTCTGCTTACAGAAACAATCCAGAATCTCATTTGGCTGCAGATGTTTGAACAGAATATAGAGTTATTTTACCTGTATATAGAACTTTTCTGAACTTTTTCATCCCAACTCTGCAGTTCTGTGATTGCATGTTGAAAATGCAAACTTTTAAAGACCACATAATGCATCTCCTAATGATGTTTAGATAAAAAATGACTATTTAATCATATAAATGGCCACCTAAACAAATTGAATGTTTTATTTTCCTTTAATGTGGATGATGTTTTTATCGTGTTTTCTTCCTCTGTTAGAAAACGTTCTTTGGTCGGTTCAGACACTTCCTGGATGTGATTGACCCCAGCACCCTCCTTGTGACAGAGGTACACAAACTTGATTTTTTGGATCTGGTCTGATGAAAACTGAACTGAACCATCTTTTAATGTGTGTTTTGATTGGACAGTTTCTATTGAGCAGACAAGGACTGTGTACCATGCTGAACGACACTGCAGTGCTAGTTTCTTGGGGAGTGGATTAAGAGTAACTCATTCAGTAATGCAGCCCAGGTTATCTCTTCTGGTCTGAGGATTTGGACTTTATCAGAGTACTGCTATTTGCCGTTTAGCTCTCTTTTGTTTTGTATTTGAGGGATTATATATAGATGGAGACGCTGTCACTCTAAAGTGTGCAAACAAACACAATCCACTCAGAATCTTTGGAGAAATCACACTAATAAAGTCTATATAAAGCCTATTTATTTATCACAAGTTTGTCCCAGATGGTTCATTTGAGAACCAAAGTGAAACCAGAACTTCCAGGTTCTGTTCCAGAAGTAAGAAAACCTCATTCAAAATCCCACTGACATCTGTTAACAACTTAAATAACTAAAATACAGGCTTGGAACAGAACCTTTCTCAACAGTGTGTCACGTGGCTCACTTTATATATTTGGATAAGGATGGTAGTTTTATGAAAAATGATCTAATCTTTCTGTATGTATGTTAGTGGCCTTTAACAAACACCATTTCCCATAAGCCCTAGAAGATCTTTTTCTGTGCTCACAAAGTAAATGTTGATAAACTTTGTTAAAATCACCAAGGTTTCAGTTTCTTATAGCTGCTGCAGTGGATGCCAATTTGTCCGAAAGACAGATCAAATAAATTCTAAATGAAGGATGGCACTGTATTACAAAAGCTATAGTGAAACTGAGGCTAGCCTGATGTGATGTCATGATTTCAGATATACATTAAACCAAAGCACAGATTGCACAGATTGTCAGGGGTCTAAGGATGACATCTTCTGTCCTTAGACCATGGACTTAACAGAAAAACACTAGAAAAGAGAATGGGAGAAACCTTAGAGCGACAGACTAGAGATTCCTCTTTCAGGACAGGCCGACATGCAGTTAGTGTCTCATGAACAGAAGTGGCATTAACAGAATTACAGTAGCTCACAGCAGAGCTCCTGGATGAATACCACAAAAGCAGAATGGCAAGATTTCAGTATCCAGCCAAGAACTGCAAAATAGTAAAAATACAAAGTAACAGAAATAGAAAATGTTATGTATTTTTGCCTTTGGTGTTACGCTGCTCTCCGTTCACTGTTTTTGAGACGTTCAGATGAAACCTGCAGAGAACAAGGAAGCAACTTCCTGAGGTTACAGGCGGTTATACAGTCTGACTTTTCAGTTCTTATTTTACCTTTTATTTAAACGCAAAGTTAACAAGGTTTGACAAAGTCTCTTTCCAGACCAAAATGGCTGCACAGTAATGTTACATGAAAGGAGGAGGAATAAAACTTGGTCATTTCAGTGCTTAAAATGTCTGTGACTTTTTAAAATCATTTAATGTGACCAATTTTTTTTTAACATACTTATTCTTCTCTGTGGCCGGGAACAAATCTGTGACCTTTTGGTTTCTGGGCCGTCATCTCTAAACGCTGGACTGCTCTGCCCGTCCTAACATTTCCCCAGGTCTCGGTTGTGTTGCGGTAATCAGTGCTCTGGTGCCCTGGGTAATGAAGCTGTTAGCGGGCTCTTTGGTGACAGTAATAGCGGCAGTAGCTCCTGGGATGTGATGAGGTGTGGACAAGTGGGGCAGCTGTGAGGGGTGAAGAGAGTGTGTGCGCTCACACACACACACACACACACACACACACATCCTGCACCCTACTGGGCCAGGCGTAGCCTCAACTTGCCCCTAATGACGAGAGTTGAACAGGGTTTGATGTGATTTTTGCATAGGATCACACACACACACACACACACACACACACACACACACACACAACACACACAAAGCTCACTTGCACACAAGGCAAAGTGCAGCACCTAACACTGTGCACACAAATGCAGAGAAAATAACCTAACAACACACACACACACACACACACACACACACACACACACACACACACACACACACACACACACACACACACAGATGGCAAGCTCATTAGAACAAATTGGGCTCCATGACCTTGTATTTTGCTCAGCATTAAGACAATGATCACACCACAGAAAGCGGCTCATTACCTTTTAGCTAACTCATTTGTCAACTGAAAATCAGCATGAAAGATGAATGATGAAAACACAATTACTGCACGTTGAGTCATGGTGGCTTAAATAGTGGAAGAGAAAAAACATTTCTGAGATGATGAAAAAACTGTCCTGACTTAACTTTTTACTTTATCCTTTTTGTTCTCAATTCAGAAACGACTTCAGGAGAGCGTTGAGCTGCTCGACCGGTTCAAACAAGGGACTCTGCCTCCAGGAGTGACAGATGCTCAGGTAAAGACTCAAAAACCTGAGCTGATGAGTGAGTCTTTGTGATGGAAGTATGTTGATTCAGTCAGAAAATCAAGGATAGCTATGAACAGATAAATAAATAAAGGCTTCAGTTTTATTTATTTATGAAACACGGTCATTAACTGACTGTTTGATACTTTTTTTTTTCTCTACAGCTTTGGCAAGCTCAGAAAATAAAGCAGGTAAGATCTTTCATATACACACACACACACACACACACACACACACACACACCTCTGGTTGTTGTGGCACAAAACTACACTGAATGCCACATTATACTTTTCGTTCCATTTACCTTATGATTCATTTACTGTTAATCTACTTTGCATGTTTGCCTTTTTTGCACATTACTTTTTGCACATGTGCATTTGTACAGTTTTCGATTCACTTATGGTGAATTTATTATTATTATTATTATTTTACTTCTTCTTTCATAACTGAGTGCTAAGCATTTATAACAAAACTATTTCTCTGCGTGGATCAGTAAAGTTTTTCTGATTCTGAATTGGCGAACAAAACTGACACCAGTCTTTGTGCTTCATCTCAAGAGTTACCTGTTTATACAAGTATACAACAACAGAAAGTCAACAGAAACATGGAGGCGCAGCGTTAAAAAAGGCTTTTAATGGGGAAGTAGATTAAAAAAAAAAAAAAACACACACACACAGAAGCAGGCGAGTGGTTTTAACTCCAGTGCTAATTAGCAGTAAGTGCCAACTTTGAAAGATCACTTTCTGAAGTCACTGAACTGAAGGCACAAGTTGCTCAGAAAATTGTGTTCAGTAATATAGAGACAGCAACAGCAACAGCCATATTTTTGAGATGTTTTGAACGAAAGAAGCCATCGTGTTTATTAGTAACTCCTGTGCTTTTCCTACTCTGACAAGTCAAAATGTCTGCTGTGAAAAGTGCCTATTCCCTCTGTTGCTGTCTGTGTACAAATGTGTATCAAATCACAATCAAACCAAACGTGAGCAGGACAGTGAAATCTGATCTCAAGTGATGCCTAAATCAGAAAGGGGCTAATGTCAGCTGCCACATGTTAAACATGCAAGTGGCTCTTCAGTGTTATGGACCGTTTTACAGAACTATGTATATGCTATGGGGCCATATCTCCATATTCAGACATGATAGTGCCCTCATACATGATGCTTTAGCTTTTGAGACTCAGTCTATGAGCATCAGGAAGAAGCAGGACGCCTTCCGTTCCTCGCCAGTCAGCAGATCTCATCACCATTGAAGCAGCAGGGGAAAGAGATTTCTATCTGTCTTATCTCACGGCAGAGGAGAGGATAGTGTGCTGTCGTTTGTCTCTGGTGCACACACATGACAATACTTTTAAAAGCTTATCGACACACACACACACACAAAAAAAAGAAAAGAAAACATGCTGTAAAAAAAATCATAAAAAAGGAGAGATCTAAAGCTCATGCTGCTTTAATGCATCAGGCAGACGTGAGGTTATACGTCAATATCAAAGGCCTCAGCCACTCAGACTGGCATCAGTGCTTATACAGCTGATTCAGGTGCAAACAAATAGATGTTAATTAGAATGAACTGTAATAGCACAAATATACACATGTTTAATAGATATATTTATATTATAACATTGTCATAATACTAGAGAGAAACTGGGACTGTGACATCATATTACTTGCACTAATGGACTATAACACTCATCATACTTATCTGCACAGAATCACATCTGCTGCCTTCAACTCAAACTTGAGGTCACATTCAGGCTGAAATATCTCAACAATTATCGGATGGATTGACATTAAATCTTATACAGACATTAACATTCCCCAGCAGATGAAGCCCACGACTTCTATGATCTCCTGACTTTTCTCTAACGTCACCACGAGGTTAACATATGTTGGGTTTTTGGACAGATTTTCCATGATATTTGATGTAGACATTCATGTTCCCTTCATGGTTACTTGTAAAAACTCTGGTCATCGCTTTTAACTTTCCCATCGTCTGGTCAAAATCAAATAGTTTGTTTTTCGACTAAATGCCAGCAAAACTCCTCGCACTCCCATCAGCCTCGGCTGCACTTTTGTGTTTAATGCTAATTAGCAAACATTAGCATGCCAACACACTAACTAAAATGGTAAACATGCCTCACACAGCTTCTAGTGTGGCTGAACACGTTAGCATGCACAACACCTGAATAATGCTTTTAGAATATTGTCGAATCTGCAACCTCAACAGTGAGTCGACTCTTGCATCAACACAGGAAACAAAACCCAAATTAAAGCCACTGTTTCTCAATAAAATGTCCCAGTTCACACGTTTCAGGATTTTCAAACAATCCACAGTTTAGCGATAATCTTTTTGCTGCTTCAGCCACTTCCTGTTTTGTCATGTGTTTTTTATCACCTTGTCTTTAGTAGTTTCAATTTACATAGATGATATTGATTAGTTTCCAGTAACGCGTAAAACTTTCCTTCAGTTTTTAGCCCCACAGCAGAACTCTCCTCCTAATTGAACTTGACTAACCCGTGTACTCCTGTGCTCATCATCGTCTGATTCTAATCATTACGCTCTCATTACAGGCCATCATCCACCCTGACACAGGGGAGAAGATCCTCATGCCCTTTCGCATGTCAGGTATGGTAGCTTGGTTTGGAAGCCTTGGCTGAAGTGGGGATCTAGGCGCTTGTTATGTGGTCCAACATGGAGGCGTCGTTCACCCTGGGAACTGTTGCGGCTCGACGGGGCTCTTCAGGTTGTCTCAGGCCTGGAAAAGGTCACACTCAGCTGGGCGCTGATTAAAATCTCTCTCCCACGGTGACGGAGAAGTTCTCGAAGCCTCTGAAGAGGCAAACACAAGTATTTTGGTCCAGTCTCAAAGTCTCACCTTTCTCATGAGGCGACTTTGAAGTGTCAGAGAAAGAAAGAGAGAGAGAGAGAGGGTGGGAGAGAGAATGAACGAGGGAGGAGAAACGGAGGAAACGACAGCAGCACATATTAACATGTTAGGACCAGCGCAGTGTAACATGTCAGACCAATGTGAGTGTAGAAATCTACACAGAAGAATAAAAGTAAAAGGATTTAGACGTAACCACTTTACAAAGATTAGAAATAGGAGAGATTAGAACAATTACAAGATGAGATATTAAAAATATTAATGACAATTATCAGTGTAAATTATAATACTGGCTGTCTTTTAACAGGTTTTATCCCATTTGGCACACCAGTGGTAAGACTTTTTTGGTGCACACATTTGAGTGAAGCCAGTCGTCATATTTATTGTAACTTTGTCCAAAATATTGCAAACACGTTTATGTGCATATCACCTATCATACACTGACATAAATACACTTTTGGCCTCCAATATTTTATTTTTTGTTAATCTATGTGTACTTTTGGAGTCATTTTGTAAAGGGTTTTATCTTTGTCCAGGTTGTTGGCCTACTTCTCCCGAACCAAACACTGGTGTCAACGATCTTCTGGCAGGTAAATACCAACATCTTGACCAGTGAAACTGGTGTTTGATGGTTTAATTCACTGGGATAAAAGCTTGTAAGTGAACCTTGAGTTCAGATTATTTGATTGCAGATATGTTTCCCCAAGATCAACAATGAACCTCTGTGGTCTGATCTTGTTAAAGGGATTACCTTTAATCAGACAAAGACATACTGAAAATGCTAAATACAACATACAAAAAAAAACTAACAAGCTCATCTTCTTTTGTCTTTCTCTACTTTGACCAGTGGTTAAACCAGAGTCACAACGCCTGCGTTAACTACTGTAACCGCAACGCCTCCAAGGTAACAGTATCTGTAGTAGAGAGACAGATAAAGTCCCATTTGGACAGATACCAAATGTAGCAACAAATGTTGTCTGTTTGCTGAGCTGCATGAACTGCTGTCATGTTGTTTTCTCGCTTCTTTTTCACTTTCACTTTAGCCAGCTCCGATTTCCAAATTTGTCCAGGGATACCTCGGAGCAGTGACGAGCGCCGTCTCCATTGCTGTGAGTTCGCTGTGACTCCACTGATTTAATAATGTCATCACACAGCAATAACTGAGGCGCTTATTAATCTATAGGTGTAGATATAGATGTGGAGGTAAAAGAGAAATTAACAAGCCAAGCCAAAGGTTCTCTGCTGTCATTAATGTGGGTTTCAGCACAGAGTTTAAAAGTCTAACGGTTGTTTCAGATACTTTTATGGTCAAAAACCAAATGTTTTCAATTATTTTGACAAACAAATGTAGAACTTTAAAGAGGCTGAATATCAGTATGAACTTTTGAATACCAGCCCTCAAAATACCCTTATGTTTTTTTTCTTACATTTATGTCATCAAAGACTCAAATGTCAAGAGTATAATACATGTTCACACACCTGCCTGACACAACCCTTAGTGTGGACATGGGGCTCAAACAAAGCCAATTACTGGTCCCGCTGGGCGCTCATCTGGCTGCTGCTCTCAGGCCTGACAACGGCAACAAGCACAGGGGAAAAAAAAAAAAAAACTCCCGGGGTCTGTGGAGGGCGGAACGACAGGCCGGGAGGGGGCCAGGAGCTCTCCAATTAAACGTCCACTCTGGTGACGACCCCCCGCCGTGCTGGGGAGAGCCGGAGGCAGGAGAGGCACGGTGGTGTGTTATCAAAGAGCACATAGCTCCTCGATCACAGACCTCTAGTGTGTTAAAATACAGTGAAGTCACTTATTTAATCGTTTATGCACAAAGACGGGAATGTTTGTCACTTATCTCCCATTTCTGACACCTAAAAGCTCTTCTGTGCTTCATAGGTCTCTGAACCATCAGTTTATTCAAATAATTATTCCAGATATTCTGTGTTCTTTTATCATTTTAACTAATGCAAGATACTTCCATTTCATCCATTTACAAAAAATAGAATCAGAGTCTGATTTGTCAGTGTCGTGTGCATCTTGATGTTAGGTGGGGTTGAATGTGTTGATCCAGAAAGCAAGCCGCTTCAGCCCAACGACCAGGCTGCTGGTGCAGAGGTTCATCCCCTTCCCAGCAGTGGGTGAGTTCAAGAAGCTCTGTAAAAACACTTCATCCATTCAAAACTCAAGTGGCCTTTTGATCTATTAGTTTAAATGAGTTCACATTGTAGAACTAACAATGTTGAACTAACTGACCAGAGTAGGATGACTACAGATACTGCAGACTTAAAATAAACCTCTATGGTGGCGGGTTAATGGAGATTAGTGTCTGTCGGTACAATATTTAATTTTTTTGGTGGCTGCTGAAGCGCTAACTGTATTAGCATGCTGAAGGTGTAACGTTAACATGTTAATGTGCTTATAGCTAACACATGAACTATTGGACGGTAACATGCTGATATTTGAAGCACGGTAACAATCTTACAGTTACTGTGTTAACATGCAGAAATGATCTTGTGATATTTAGTGTCTTAGTATGTGTGCAGTTTTTTGTAAGCCTGTAAAATTTAGCATGTCATGATGTTAAGATGCTAATCTTAACATAAATATCACACTATTATTTAATATATGCAGCGGAATCATGATGACAAATAAGTTGAATGAAAGCTAGTAAGTGGCCCTTGAGTTAAGATTGATTCCATTTTGTTAGCATGCTAACAAATTAGCCCATTAGTGGAACATGCTAACGTTTAGCATCCGGTGATTACAGTAATCCAAAACTACATGTGACAAGAATTTGGTTTTGATTTTTTTGAGGTATCGTGACATAAACTAAGAAACATGGAGCATCAACCTGTTGGTGGCGCTAGTTGAAAAGTTGGGGGTCAATAAAGTTTTTATGGATTGTCCTCTGATGACAGTCATTGCTATGAATCCAATTTATCGTAATAGATGTCAGTACGTGGCATTTAAAAAAAATTAATTAAATTGGATTTTTCCCGCCTGATTTCCTTCAGTGTTTGTTCTCTCTTCAGACGTGCTTAAAAGTGGTGTCGTCCTTTAGAACCGCTCCGTGATCCTTTATGAACCTGAGAGCCGAGTGCACACCTGAGCCGTTGGTTTCGCTCCTCACAGTCCGTTTTTTCCGCTCTGCAGGGTTAGAGGTGTTTTGTGAGCTCGCTTTGTCAGACGTGTGTGGAGCCACAAAGCTGATTTTCATGCCACTCTCTCGCAAACACACAGTCACACCCAGGGGTATAGACCCATGTCCCAGAATGCCCCAGGCTGCTGGCTCATAATTAAATTGTTTGCCCCCGCCCCCACCCCCCCCCTTCCTTACCATGGCGGTTCTTCTAATTAAATCAACAGGTTTCTACAGCGCAGCCTTTGCCTGGTAATTGGCTGCTCGTTAGAACTCTGCTGCCGCAAACAAATTGGATAATTACCCCTAAAGTGGCGTCTATGTCAAGGCCTCATTTACCTGATTTCTGTTTGTTCATTGTTGTTGCTGTTGTTGTTTTGGTAGCCTTATATAAAAGGTAATTAAAATGGCTAATTGAAGCGAGCGAAAGCAAAGTGCTGTTTGAATTTTCACCCACTTGATTTTGTTTGCTTACTTAAGGCTAGATTTATTTGTAATAACCTAATCAAGCAGCGGCCTGTCACTCAATTAGATTATGAAGACCTTAACTGGAGGGAAAACCACGCTGCCAGAAATTTATGGGGGACAATTAATTTGTTGTCTTCTGAAAATATTTGTCATTATTTGTGATATTTAGGAAGTAATTATGTGAAAAGTTCTTGGATGTATTTCCATCAGTGTACCACTAGTTATTAGATGACAATTAGAATGTACACAAATGTAATTATTTCCAATAATTACAAATTACAGCCACATATTTTCAGCATTTAGCTGCACTGGCTTTTCAATAATCAATTAAATTTTCTAATTACTTTGATGCCTTTATTCATTTAATTACAAACAGCTTTTTGAAATTTTGATCTGTTTGTTGTAGTATTTGTTATTCTTTTCCAAAATCCTACTATCTGTCCCTTTTTATTAATTGGTCTGCAAAAAAAAAAAAAATCCCTTGTAGGTAAAAAGAGCTATTTGCTCAGTCAATTGAATTCCCCTCACAAAGCGACGCGGCAGCCCTGCAGCCCTTAGCACAGATAACTCTGAATGCTGTTGTCTTAAATTAAAAAGGCTCGCGGCGCCACCACTAAACTCTCTAAAATGAGTTTTCCTTATTCCTATTAGAGTCAAGGAGAAAGGATCATCTGTATTAACATACATTTGTGTTCATTTTGGCTCTCGTGAATAAATCACAGGGGGAAACAACACGGCTGTTTGTTGACCTATCAATCACCTTTGTTTCCTTGTGCGTCGCTGATCTGACTGTTGCTTGAGTCAAAGTCGCACACGGAGGCGTGATGTTTAGATTCGTGACATGGAGGTGATGAACTACATTTTGGTGTTTGGTTTCGGTGTCACAGAAGGAAACTCAGTGGCAGTTATAGGTGTCAAATATGTGATATTTTCATTACAGCATCATGTATTCAGTGTTCTAGGTTAATAGTGTTACAGTGGTAAATGAAAATATTTACTGGTTATGAATTATTTTAAATATTTCTGTATTAATAATAATATTTGTATTTATTAATTTTACCTCAGAAGATGTAGTTTTATGAAGAGCGGGAACATTGGCTAAGGTGTTTTTATTCCTCTGTGCCGGCGACAGTCGGAGCCGGAGGCATATTGTTTTCGGGTTGTCTGTCCGTCCGTCCGTCCCATTCTTGTGGACATGATATCTCAGTAACACCTTGACGGAACATCTTCAAATTTGGCACAACCATTAACCAGGACTTAATGATGAAGTGATTAGATTTTGGTGGTCAAAGGTCAAGGTCGTGGTGACCATAACAAAACACGGTTTTGGCCGTCTGAAGGCAGTATCTCTGTAACCCCTTGAGAGAATTTCTTAAAATTTGGTAAAAACATTCACTTGGACTCAAAGATGAACTGATTAAATTTTGGTGTGTGTATATATACTATATATATATATATATATATAGCTCCATGCTAGGGTCTGTACTTAGACACACTGGTGCTTTGAGCTAAATGTTAGCATGCTCACAACAACATTATATACTAATGTTTAATGGAGAAATGTTTACCGTGTTCACCACATTTGCTAATTAGCGCTAAACCACTGGTTTTGCAGGTATTTGGTCATAAACCAACATATGGGACAAATTAAGATTTTGACCTGATGATGGGGTTAGATGTGAAGTTATGGGAATCACAGTTATTACAGTTCATTCTGATGGGGACATGAATGTATGTAGCAAACTTCATTTCCTTGGATCCAAAAAAACAAACAAAAATGTCAATGTCATGGTGCCACATGAGGAAAAGTCAAGGGTTCAGAGTTCATCATCATCTGGGGACAACAAATCTCTGTGCAAAACTTTATGGGAAACCATCCAGTGGTTAGATATTTCAGTCTGGACCCCTGATGGGACCACACATCCAACCATCAGACCCTCATTACCATCTCTAGAGCCACAACACTAGCATGGCTAAAAATGTTTGAAATCTAATTCACAGAATAATTATTTCATGATCATGAGAAAAACAGATTGTTCTGCCAATTTTTTTGCCTTCCACAACTACATTATTCATCTAGTCGAAATCAACATTCGCTAACAAAATAAACAAAAAAAAAAAAAAAAACAAAAAGCCATCCTCTGCTCTTTCATAAATTACCACTTTAATCAGTCTGATGATGCCTTTACAATTTAAACCATGACAGGATTAAACCTCCTCATCCTTTTAATGCCTTCCACAGTCATCTTGAGCAAAGAACCCACACCTTCCGCCCGACGCACTGTACAAACTGCCGAATCTGCAACGACCGAGCAGAGGTGAAGAGACATATGCTCATTTGTGAATATAATAATATGTCAATTTTCACTTTCATCTGTAAGAATGTCTCACCTCTCCGCAGCGAGTGCAAACGTCTGCTAGTATGGTGCTCATGAGACACTCGGAAGCTGTCAGAGGCCGCTCAGCGTGTCGACGACGACGGAACGTTGTGGAAACATCCAGAGTAGCTGCCAGGCATGTATGTTGATTTGCTCTGAGAACCTAATACCTGGTGTGAATTTATCATGATCAATAAAACACTGTCATGTTTGTAAATGATGAGAATTAAGTTCACACCTATGTTAAAACAAACACATAACTGCAATTTTTACTTTTTCTCTCAAAAAGAAAAAAGAAAAAGACAACGGTCTTTTCTTTCTTTTTAAGGTGTTATTTTATGATTTTTCTGACAGGCACTTCTGGAGACGCCCGCTGACCAGAGTGGTGCTGCCCATGCCGATCCTGGTCCTCCCTCCCCCATGATCATGGCTGTTCTGGAAAGTAAGAGACTCCCCATCACTTAATTTTAATCAGGCAAACTGCATGAGCTCTTTAGACCTTAGAGAGAAACAATAAAAGGATTACATAAAAATATGTTTTTAAAAACAGTGTCCCCCACACGATACTTTCTAAAGCAATTTTTAAGGATTCTTATCAAAAATGTTTGTGTATGTTCTACATTTATGTTAAGAAATGTCTCGGCGCCACTACATAATTAACAGTGTGTTTAAGTCGTGGTGTTGGCCTGAAAAATCCAGTTTCCAGCAGGTAATAAAGCTTTGATGTATAGAGAAACAACCACGGTATGACCTCAGTGTAATACTTACCTGAACTGCACTTCCTGTACTAGCTTAAATCATCATCCTGGTGTAGCCACATTTACTTCAGCTCACAGTTTGGGCAAACACAGCAGGATGCTTTTGGCACAGAGTTGTCCCTGGTTTCTGCTGAAGGAGTTTTAGTTCTAAAAGTGGCCCCCTTTCTTTGTCCATTAGCCGTTGTGCTTAAAGTGCGTCTTTTTCTGTCTCTTTGAAATTCTGATATCGCTGCTGCTGCACACGTGCAGGGCACAATGTGCTCCAGAAATTTTTCATAGGAAAAAAAAGACCACAAGCCTCCAGCGTTTGCAACAGCAACAACAAATGATTTTAGTACCTCTTCCATTATCATGTTATAAAGTACTTCTTTGTCGTTTTAAAGAGTTAATTATGG